TTAAATAGTGTATTGAAAAATTATTAGAATATATTTTAGATATATATATATATTGGATCGCAATCGTGTTGCGTTTTGTACAGGTAAAAAAGTAAAACGGACTTGATCGTGCTAATCGGTTAAGCGCAATCGTGTTGCTTTTTTTAAATGAAAAAAGGTAAGTCGAACGCAATCGTGTTATAGTCCTCCTACACGGCTACACCTTCCCATTTAAATATATGTAAATGCGTTAACTTTTTATATTTTTTCTTTTTTAACTGTGGTCAGGGCACAATACACGGAGGAATAATATGTTCGGTTAGATTGCAGCCATCGACTAAGAATTCAAAATGTGGAAATTCGTTTCCTCAGATCGCAGCTTACAGTCGATTACTTTTCAGATTTCATGAGCATCGTCGTCCTGCGGGGCCCTGCAAATTCGCACAATCAATAATTCCGGGTCCGCGGTAAAAGCTGTTGCTGGGGTTCGTAAAAGCCTGCAATAAGCCCCATAATAGTTTTTGTAATGATTGTATCCCGGTGTGCGTGCTCGTCCTGCGCATATGTATGCTCGAAAATTCGTGCAGGCGTCGGTCACGCACATCAGCAACACCCTCCATCACGGCTCGCGGTGGGTGACGTTAGTAATTTGCAGGCAAGGCTGGTCCGCGGATCATCTGTGCATAGGTAGCAGACAGTAGACAGCAGACATAGATAAATTAAGATGTATAAGACACCACCTTGCAAAATTACAGCAGTATTATTAATTTCCGGCGTTCAAAACGAATATGTGTATGCGATGATTGAAATATAGAGACGACAAATCAATTCAATCGTATCGAGTTGCTGCAGTAACCGTGTAAGCCGACGCTTTCGGTTTTATTGGAATTACTATTTGATACAACCAAGTGACACGGTACCATATTATTGTTAATATTATTACTATTTAGTTACTAAGACTCGAGCTGTGAAGTCGATGCGGAGAAAAAAAGAAACGGGTTAGGTATAGATGATTAATATTTTATTATTTACATTCGGTCTACCAAATAACACTAAAATAAATTCTGATGTTTCAAGGTTTGACATAATATCATATTAAATAATTGTTTTTAATCGTGGATGCGTGTCAAGTATTATTGAGGTATTGATTGATATCGCTTATGGAAATATTTAATTTTACTTAATTCCTCATTGATTTAGAGTATAAAGAACTTGTAGCTTTAAAAATTCATAAAATACCGTTTAAAATTAATTTTTGTAAATTAGTTATAACAGTTTTATTTTATTTATTCAAGACTTTGTGTTACAAACCTAATTTAATCTATTAATATTGACGTAGCTGTATACTTTTAACTTAAAAAAAAACATTTTTCGTCTATATTTAAAACTAAAAGTATAAAGTGTTTAAAGGTGTTGGATGCTTATTGTAATCTTTTAATATTATGTCATATCTCTTTTAGATAAATTATAAAATTTTAATTGTTATAATATGAGTAAATTGTGTATTGTAACGTGATCGGGAAAATCTTGTTATGATATTAGTTATCCAGAAAAGATTTTCTATTTCTTATAGATAAGTTTTTCGTAGCTGGGGGTAGTTTATACACACGTATATGAAGTTTTTATCAATAATTAGGCACGTTTGATTTATAAATCTATAGTAATTATTATATTTAAATTAATACTTTATTGTCTTAGAATATGGCTGTGTTAATAAGTGTATTGCTGAGCTCGTTTGTGTTGATGGTTAGTGTCAAACTGACCCTGTGAGTCATTTTAATATATTAAGTAATAATTTGGACATGTTAAAAAGTGTTTAATGTGTATATTTTGTATTGGTCAATCATATAGTATTATATTGTGTTCATTGTATAATAAGTATACAGTGGCGCCGAACTCATGTATCAAGAGAGAAATCAGCCACCTTGTTTGAATAGGTGGGTGGTTGGGTGGATGTTAAGTAAATTTGAGTATTGATTTGAAAATAATATTGTTTATCAGTATTTTAGATATGATTTTTTATGAAAAGTATATTGTGTATAAATATTATTAGGTCTGGGATTTTAATGCAAAGATATCTTTTTTTCTGGTGTTTTAAAACGTTGGTCTGTAAATATAAAATATATTTTGGGCGATACTGATTATTTAAAAGTAATTTTTTTTTTTGCATTTTTTTTACAAAATTAATCTTAAAAGCAATTTAAAGATAGTTTTTGACGATTTAAGTGCATTTTTTTTTTAGTTTTTAGAGCATTTTTCACAATTTGTTTTTAAATGAACAAAAATTGCTGCGATTAACAAAAGACTTTCGGCAAATTTCTGACGATACGAATAATAAATTATTACTTTTGGAAGGTTTTATTTGAAAATCTATGGTACATTTTAAAGTATCTAATCAGGAAAAATAAAAAATAATTTTTATATTTATGAAAATTTTAATTTTGTTATTTTATAAATAATTATTTGGTAATCATTCGTATACCATAAACTGTTAGACTAACTTCATTTTTTTTTTTCATAAATGTTGATAAAAAATTATTTTCTCCCTTAAAATGTTTAAACATTTATTTTAAAATTCTTCATAAACTTTTGATAAGGAAATTTAAAATAAAATTTTCGTAATAATTCTTTAATAATTTTTTCTGAATATTTGAAAATAGTGTTGAATACTAAAATAAGTATAGTAACTAAGGAAGAGCCAAGAAAATCACTAGCTTGTATCAACTAGATGATTAAATCAAGATATTTATTTATTTAATTTATATATAGGTATGTTAAACATAATTTATCATAATAACAATATTAATATTAAGAGCTGATACGTATGCCAACTGAGCTAAGCTCGTATCTGGTATAGTACCTATCGGAGTCAGACACGGATCCAGAGCAAAGATCTAGGGAGAGGCCATTCGATTGTTTTAGGTACTTTATTCATAATTTAAAATTGCTGTCAAATATTAGATATAGGTAATCAATGTAATGAATAAATTAATGATTATTTAATATAATATATTATTTATAGGCTAAATAATTAAATCCTAATGTCTATTTACATTTTCACTTTTTCCGATAGGAAAAATATTATAATATAATATATTATATTATCAAGCCATTATGTGATTTGAAATATAGTAATATTAGTATTTGTAGAATTATAAAAAAATTTGAAAAAATATATATGTCTGGGGGAGAGGGGCCCTTAGGCTTCCCTTGGATCCGTCCCGGTACGGAGTTCTAATAAATCAATACAATATTAATTTATAGTAATAATATATGAAATTTCTTACACAATTAAAACATTTACACGTATTCCCGTCAAGGTCATTAACTATTCTACTTATTGTTTTTTACATTAGTTTCATTAAGTATATCATTGATTTTATTAGACTCATTTTCACATAAACGTTGTATTTGATTCTTTAGATTAATTTCTTAAATTATTGAATATAGTCTTTGCCATGTAATCGGTATAGAACTTCTTAAACTGGTTAATGTTGCATTTTGTGGTTTTATATACTTTCCTGTTCTTCTATTTATTGTTTATATATCATTGAGTATGTGCTTTTGTATGCATCTTATAAGAATTTGTTTAATGTACAATTTATAGATATATAGTATATTTATGTGTCTAAATAACTCGACTGATGGATAAGTCAACGGAAAAGAGTAAACTAATTTTATTATGTTTTTTTGGGTAATATATACTGTGTTTATGTCTGTTCTATTTGTGCTTACCCAAAATATTAAACCATATAATAAAATTGAATTACATGATGCCATACATACTTGTCTTATAACTACTTTATTTAGAAAACGAATTTTGTAAATAAAGTAATTAAATTTATTTATATAAACATATTAATTGTTTATTTATTTAATATAGAAATACTAAAATCAATATTTATCAATTAGTTTTTTTTATATTGGAAATTAAAGATAAAAAAATAAAAAAAATTTTAAAACTCAGTTAAATATTTTATATTTCATATTTATTGTTGTAATTATTATTATTAATATTTTATTAGAATTACACACATTACATTATTAGAAATACATTAGGAACATAGTATGTTTATTATATTTTTTAACAAAATTATCGATATGAGTGCTTCAACAAGTTTGAACGTTCGTATATCAGAACGTTCGGATACGGTATTAATTGTAATTCAGACAATAGAGGGTTCGTATAACGAAGGTTCGGATAATCGAGGTTCTACTGTATATGCCTTATGTATATATACTATTGTATATACTACTGTATATATACTTATGACCATTTTCTACAATCATTTTTTTCCCTCTTGTACTTGTCGTCAGCTCTGTTTTTATAATTTATAATTAAAATAAAAATAATAAAACAAAGGACAAACGAAAATATTGTTAAATTGTAGGTACTAATATGTAAGTATTATTATTATTTATTTGTAAGTTTTTTTTGTAACATACCTAACGAAGTCTGATAAAATCACTTAGCAATCGTTTTTACACGACGATTTGATGAATAATGATGATATCCAATAATAGAGTAATTACATCGTAGGTACAACATAATAAAACACTGAAATAAAATCTGTTTTCAATTAGTCCGTGCAATAATGTACAAAATTTTAAAATCTATAGACTAATAAAAATAACTTTAATATGATGTATGTCGTGTCTTTAAATATGAATTATGGCACTCATGCTGAATAATTAATGATATTCATATATTTTTTATTACTCTAACAAGCATTAATAATTAAGTAGGTACTTTCAAATTAAAATTGGGTGTATACTAATTCTTAAAAAGCTTTCATCAATATTTTTTGTTGTTTGATTACCCAAGTCTTAATTAAGTGAAATTTTTTTAGAATTCTAATTAAACTAGCCCCAATTAATTTATATTTCTTAAAAAAATTGTAGAATTTACAAGTTATTTTATTTTAAAAGTTGTTTAATAATAATGGTTTAATTACTCATAATTTGTATTTTTCACTTATTTTTTTTTTTTCACTAGTTACACTTGAAAAAATTCAACAAATATGGTATTAAAACGAGGACCAGTAGACTTTAAAGAAAAGTGGAATGAATTAAAAGAAACTATTAATGGTATCTTAAGACAAGACAGAATTCCTAGGGATGAATGGCATACACGTTTCAATGACATTTACGCTATGTGCGGAGCTCAACCGGAATCTCATGAGCATAGACTTTATGAATCAACAAAGTCGTTATTAGAGGAACATGTAACTAAAATATTTTCTACTATTAAAACCGAAGATACTGAAAATTTGTTACAAGATTATAATAATAAATGGCAGAATTATAGAAAAAGTGTTGATCATTTAAATTCACTGTACCAGTATGTATTTTTTTATTTACATTACATATTTTATTAGTAAATATCTATTAAATATAAAATACATTTATAGGTACTTAAATATGGGAAATGTTTCGAAAAAACAAGTACTCGAATTGTATAATATACAACCTGATCCAAACGAACCTCAACATTTGATGATCGGAGAACTGGGACTTTGCATATGGAAACACAATATGATTGTACCACTAAAAAACAGTTTGCCCAAATTGTTATTGGATGAGATTGAAAAATCAAGACATAACATAGCTGTAACCACATCTTTGGATATAATTACTAATGTTCTTAACTCATTTGTCGAAGTCGAAAATTTCAATAAATCTTCGTTTAAAGTAAGTATTTACATTTGATTGTCATAAAATAAGAAATTATTAGTAAAATATTTTTTGAATTTAAAATGTTATTTTTTTTTTAGTTTTATCAAAGTTATTTCGAGAGAACTTTTTTGGAGAAATCTAGTGAATATTTTAAATTAGAAGCTTCAAAATTAGTAAAAAAATGCACAGCGTCTCAGTATATAGTTGAAGCCACACAACTATTGGAAAAAGAAGAATTTTTATTGAAAACATATTTTCATGACAGGTAAGTTTTCAAAGTATTAAAACTGTTATGACACAAATAATAATATTTATATTTTATTTTATAGTACAAATAAAAGATTTCAAAAAAGGTTTTGTCAAGATATGGTTGTTGATCATTTATGTTTTTTACATAAAGAGTTTGAAGTGATTATAAAAGAAGAGCGACTTGATGATATGCACAATATGTATTTACTTATACGTGAAGTTAAAGATGAATTCACTGTATTAGCTAATATTTTCAGAGAACACATACAACAACATGGAATTATGGTTATAAAATCTTTAAAAAAACATCAAGTATGTATTGGATAATTATTTTTTAAGTATGATTTACAATTAATAAATTATACGGTTATGTTTATAATTATATATTTAGATATGTATACACTTTGTTGAGGACTTATTGAATCTATATAAAAAATATGAATTTATAGTCATAAATAAGTTCAACAATGATTTTTTAATCAGTGAAGCTTTTGATAAAGCATTTTCAACAATCATAAATTATAAACTAGTAGAAAATCAACCATCAAAGTCCTCTGAATATTTATCAAAATATTGTGATAAATTACTAAAAAAATCGTATAAAGGCGTATCTGAGGCTGACATTGATCACAAACTATCACAGGTTATTAAAATATTTACTTATATAGATGATAAAGACTTATTTCACAAAATCTATCAAAGAGATCTGACCAAACGATTAATATTTCAAACAACTCATTCCATAGACGGAGAAGAAGCAATGATCATCAGATTAAAAGTAAATTATTCTAATGTTTTCAAGTTATTTTAATGTAAATAACAAATCATTATTATAATTTTTAGCAATCTAATGGTTACGATTTTATAAATAAATTACACCGAATGTTCACGGATATCAGAATATCAGAAGAGCTAAATACACAATTTCATAATGAATTTCTTAAAGAAGCCAAATTAGATAATTTAAATTCCTCTTTTTCTGCGTTTGTATTACAAACTGGAGCTTGGCCTTTGTCATTACCAACTGATTCATCAATTGTTATTCCTAAACAAATAATGGCTTGCGTACAAAATGTGTGAATATTTAAAATATTTATTATACATTATATTAATAATATTTGTTAACACGGCCTGATTTGTTGTTATTATAGTTCGAATTGTTTTATGGTGAAAAATTTAGTGGACGGAAATTGACATGGCTTCATCACCAGTCTCAGGGTATTGTTGTTTTATTTAATTATTATTAAACCTTTGTTGTTTATTAAAATATTTTTATTTATTATACCAATAGGCGTGTTAAAATTGAATTATTTACAAAAACCGTATATTGTGACACTGAAGATGTTTCAAATGTCAATCATGTTACTATTTGAAGACTGTGACACATTGAAGTACTCTGAAATTAACGATATACTTAAATTAAACAAAGATCAATTTAAAAGACACATCGATAGCTTAATAGAATGTAAATTATTATTGCTAGATGGTGATGTAAGTAAACTGATTTAAACTATGTTTATATTTTTTATAATGCAATTCATTATTTTAAGAATGTAACGTTGAACATGGAATTTACCAATAAACGTACAAAATTGCATGTAACATCGGCTGTCCAAAAAGATCTACCTCAAGAAATTCAACGCACTGTAAATTCTATCAAAGAAGATCGTAAAATATATTTACAGGCTACTATTACTCGAATAATGAAAGTGCGTAAAATATTGAAACATACTCAACTTGTGAATGAGGTGAATAAAATATAAGAAAATATGTTATGTATCTAATATAAAATATTATAATATTTACAATACATCTATTATGTTTTAGATATTTTCCCAATCAAATTTATTTGTTCCATCCACTGTACTTATAAAAAGAGTCATCGAGATATTAATTGATAAAGGATATATATCACGCACTCCAAATGTATCTGATGAATACTACTATATTGCCTAACATGCTTTAAATAAAAATATTCACATATAAACTTAATTATGTATAATCTTTACTCATTTTTTTCGAAATGATTTATGAGTTGTATTTTGTATTATTTGGAATTATGTTTTTATAATTTATATGGTGTGTGTCTAACTAATCATTTTAAATTAATAGATAGTTCAATTTAATGTCATAAGTATTAAGATTTACAAATAGAAAGTTTTATTAGTTTGTATCTTAAGTTGTAGTTAGTATTGTTATCTAATAGCTTTACTTTAATTATTATTATGATTATTGCAGTGAATAGTGATGATAAATTAATAGACAAATTAATTTTTCTTCATTTTAAACATATAGCTGTGTGCCTTTGTATAAGTATATTACGTTGTTCGAGGAGAATTGGTGAGGGGGAATATCGATCATTAAAGTGAAAAATCAAACATCTCTGAAAATAATTATTTGATCAATTTAGTTCTGTGGCAATAATTAAAATATTAACCAGTTCACAATATTGTGTAAACGTTTTTTGTTAGTAGAAATAATATGTTCTTTAATTTATTTATTGGTATTCCCCCTACGACATCTCAATATTAACTTTATAAGTAAACTACATATAAATGCATTTAAACAATTTTAAATTTAGTATGAAAACATTAAATTTTAAATCAACTACCTCATGTACGTTGTGACTAGTATTACCCTATTCGTAATTAATTTACAAAAATAACAACAACATTATTAATTTATTTCATTGAAAAATGAAATAGCATACATAAACGCAGATTAATACAAATATTTATATTACAAAGATATAACATTAATACATAAGTTAGGCTTGTTGTGGAGATAAGGATTATATTATTAATATCATAACGTATATATACACATAGAATAGTTTAAATAAAAATCATATTTTGTATACATTTAGAATTATATTACACTTAAATTCAGTAAAAATATAATATAAAAGACAAAAACCTATTACATATTACTACCTTATAATAATATTGAAAATATTAACGTTTAAAAGTGAAAATAATTGTTAACGCGTTTTATATGTGAAAAAATTATATTATAAGTTCGCCTGTTGAATTTAAGTTAACAATATCATTTACCACTTTATATGCAGCAGCTAATGCACATTAACTTAATGTGCATTTAGTTAGTTCAAGAGTTAGGTGCATATAAATGCATTTATTGTTTAATTCGATTCTTCAAATCGAATTAACTCTTATTCCGGAATTAAGAAATGCACGTAAACGCCTTAATGCCAATTAATATTTTAGCGGGAATTTCAAAGTTATTTTTATTAAAAGTATGATAATTATTTTGATCAAGGAATCCATTATATAAAGCATAGACTAAAAAACATTCGCATTAAATTTAAATTTTATTTAACATCTAATCTTAATATTTTAGGTGCATTTAAACCCGATCCCTAATGCGCATTAACTACTGCATAATATAAACGTACCTACTACCTAGTAATTAATGACTACGTCCAAAGTATACTAGTGTAATCCCAAGTATGATAGTTTTAAACAAAGGTGGGCAATTCAATGAAAATAATTTAACTCAACAAGTTAAAATTTATCATGGAAAAAATATTAATTTGACTTAGTTTAAAAAAGGTTAATCTATTTTTTTTAATTAGTATGTAAATCACATAAAAGTGATTGTGTCTTTCTAATTTACTGTATTATAAAAAACAATTTTACTGAATTTTTATCATAATATACATTGTAAAGTGTACCTATATACCCTTTTACTATACATAATATATTATTTATTAACTTAAACTATACACATCTCAAATTCATAATTTAACAAATATTATTTTATTTTATTTTTTACATGATATAACAATTGAAGGTCATATAACATAAAAACTGAACAATTTATAGTGTACAATTTTATTAAAAAAGTTTCTGATATCAACTGTTAATTAAACTACTGAAATTCATAAGTTGATTAGAAAATAAACTATTTAGTTAAGTCAAAAAGTTAAAAAAATTTAACTTTTTAACATAACTTTAATTTTTTGACTTGTTAATGCCCACCTTTGGTTTTGTAAAAACATTAGTGACCTCCGACCGGTATTCCATTGCTATCCTCTATTACTATTCTATAAATGTTAAAAATAAATTTAATATTATGTTGTTACCTATATAATGATGTAATGTTTGTGTTTGAGATTTATTGTTTTAGTACAATTTCTTAGTAAAAATTTATAACCGTAGTAGAATTCATTATTTAAATTTAAAAATTTAAATAAATAATATTGATGTGAAAATGACTGTGTACCTACTTTATATATAATATACAGTTTGTTTTTTTTTTTGTTGTTAAAAAATATTAACAATCTGTTATTTTAAAACAAGAAGTAAGTAGATTACGGAGTTACATATTTTACAGCACATAATTAGTGTGTGAAGAAAATTGTTCACTAACACCTCATAACATACAGTTAAAGGAATTTAATTTCACATTTTAATTTCATTCATTTCTGTGAAAAATGCTTTTTAAGAATCACAAAAGATTAAAAATTAAAAAAATAAAAGTTTTCTTATCATAATTGACCTGAAACGCAATATTAACTTTGTGCTTGAAAATGGAAAACAATGACTTATACCACTTGCAAATAATTAGATGATATATTTATATTGTTATTAAAGTAATTTATAATTTTACTATGATATTACGAAATAATACGATAGGTTAAATTAATTTTTACCGAAAACTTTGCATTTTAAAATGTCTTTGTGTATATAAAATATATATAATATTATACGTTAAAAATTAAAAACACCCACAAATAACATTTTTAAATATTAACAGAATAATAAAAATTGTTATTCTCCGTTTCAATATCTAATTTTGTCCAAATTTTAACTTGTATTTATTTATTTTTCAGATTTATTAATTACGCAATATGAACTATTTGTGAGGAACCTTGTATTACATTTCAAATCTTGAGTTATAGAAGTTGATCAATTTTTAAACTTTAAATTAAAAAATTATTTGAAATTTTCGCGATTTTGACAAATTTTGTGAAAAATTAAACTTAAATACCAGTAAAATATTGTTCTTATGCATATTTAGTATTTTTAAATATTCATAGTAAAAATTTATGAAGAACCATAAATTAAATGTTCAAGATCTTTGATTTAAAAGGAATTTTTTTAATTGACACATTTTATAATCAGAGGATATATTTTATAATTTATTGCAATCAGTGATTTATTTTTCCACTAGAATTCCGCCTTGTTAAATAAGTTTTTCAAAAATCGTGTCTACATGTATTCTTAGGGCGTAATGCGTTTGTGCGAATTTTTGAAAATTGCTATGTGTTTGGGCGAGTCATTTTAAAACATTGTAATGTGTTTGGGCGACTTTCTTTTTCCTTTATACTTACTGGGATGCTGTATTTTACCAATCAATTTTCCCTCTCATTTAGACAGACTTGGGGCTGTCTGTGAATTCCACGGGTATGATTAAAAATTGATGTTATGAATTATGTTAAAATATTATTAAAATTAAAAAATATGTAAGAGAAATAATATTAAAAGTTGAGTTAAAATATAATGAAAATTTAAATTTTTTTTCCTGGAAATTTTACCCTCATATATACTCTAAAATCTTAATTTCACCTGACATATACTTATTCCAGCTTGTTTTTCGTCGAATATTGTAGATATTTTTATTTATAGCATAGCATTTTGTGTTAGTTTCTACTTGAATTTCTTTTTGTATTAAAAATATTATTATTTAAGATCCATATTTGACATAAACTCACTAACACTATAATATACAACTTCACGTTTTCAATGTACAAACAAACTGATATTTGGAAATATGATAGAGTTCTATTAGTTTCCCGACCTGCATATAAGACTGTGCCATATTTAGGTTGATCTAAAATTCCCTATAGATTTTATATAATAATTATTGTTATCTTAATCTTTACATTTTTATCTTTTATATTGTCTCGCTCAAACACATTATAAGAAACTCGCCCAAACACATTACTATTTTTACGCGGGTAAAAAGTTAATTCGTCCAAACGCAGACCGCCCGTTCCTTAATATTTTTAAAGAGCTATAATAACACCTTATTAGGAGCTTTGAATCATTAAAATTTAAGCGGAAAACTTCGTATACATACTTATTGTAAAAAAAAAAAAAGGCTTAAACCGTTTTATCAGATACAAGATGAAACCCAGCTGTAAACATCAATCAATATATTACTAATGTTATGTCCTGATCTTGAGAATTATTTAATTACTTAATTATATCAACAACAAATTGTAGATACTGATTTGTTATATGAAAAATATAATATTTTGCTTATAGACGTTTATCTTGAAATTTTTCAAATGTCTATTTGGTAAATATCATTCTTTCAGTTTTCAACTCGCGAAATAATACGGTGTTAGAGAAACTGTCGTTGCTACGTCCCAAAAGCGTTGCATTTTTTTTTGTTTCACAATTTTTTAATTTTTAGCACTATACATAAGACATATTAATTTCAAAACTAAGCATATTATATAGTTTATATATATAATATTTATTTATTGAAACACTTACCTATATTGGCTATATTTATTTATAAAGAAAACCTTATTGTTTTGTATATTCGATGTAAAACTTTATATTTGATAGATATATCATTATGATCACTCATTTGTGAACTTGAAGAAAGCCCTATAATTGTATAATAGATTCAAAGGAAGAAAGCCCTCAGAACCGACAATTGTATAACAAGGAAGTAGCGTTATTTTGGCAAAATAATCGAAACGCGCAATTTATAATATCATAAATTATGTAAGTTAAGGTAGAAAATAACTTTCGTTTTATAAAAATTATCATGTATTTTATCACAAACACCTGCATTTAAATTAAGAGTAAGTTTGAAAGTCAAATAATACCCAATAATAATAACCATTATTATCCGCAGGGATAAATAATATGAACATTTTAATCAATTATCGTTTTGTATTTGTTTAGTTCGCCTCGGAT